AAGTGCGAAGCACTTTTATGTAATGTTGTGAGTAAAAAGGCAGAGAGTACACATCAATAAATTCTGAAAAAAGAACGTTTAATTCTTATAATTCCAATTACAAATTTTTAAAATTATTAAAATTATTTCTCTTTGAGGCCGTCATACAATCCGTTATTTTGTACGGCGTAGGAATACTTTATGCCGCAAAGAACGTATACAAGATGGCCATCGATAAAATCCAAGTTAAACTGTCAAACCAAGTAATAATTAAATAAACTTATAAAAACTCATGAATGTTGTTTAAGTCAACAAATATCGTAAATAAGCGTATTCTCCAAAATAATTCTTCCTTGACCATGGCCATGTTGACTTTAACGATAACGCTCATAGCAAAAGTTGCAGACCGACGACGTCCTCGATTTGCTCTGGTTCGTTCAAAGATTTGGAAGAATATGGGATCTGTAGGATGTAAATATATGAATTTGATGCCAATAAGGCAAAAGTCTGAGGTACGTTTCTTTTCCCTATCACAACGATACCAACTGAGCTGATATGGAACGTAGAGAAAATGACAGCATGATCAGCGATTTTTTAAAATTCACACTTCATGCACTCGTGATCCAACAGTGACATAAACATAATATTCCCGTTATTATTATTTATTGTATGTTGTATTAGGTCCCATTCGGTCTTTCGTTTAGAGACGCCACCATATACCGGTGAAGGGCTTAAAATTTTGACCTGACAGTGTACTGAACACTTACGGCCATTGACTGCAGTAAGGGATCTTTATCGTGCCAACGCCTGCGGTGACACGCGTACGGGACCTCAGTTTTTATGGTCACATTCGAACTTTTACTTCAAGGTGCGGAGCGTATGGCAAAAAAAAAAAACAGTACATAACTACATGTATTTCTATCGAATTAGGTCAGTCAAAGCCGAGAATCGAACTAGCGACCCTCCGAACACGGTGAATGTTGATGAAGTTACATATTTGACACTGACACTACTTTTAAGGATACATAATATCAACAAAAATTTGATGCCTGGATTAATGTTTGAATACTAGTCAAAATCCCGCGCTAACGCGGGGGGGGGGGGGGTACATCTTTTTTAACAGCTGACAAATATCCAAATATTTTATAGTTTTATATGACATTTAATTATAGGCTTATGGCATTAAGAAAATACTTCAAAATTCTGCAATTAGTTTAAAAACAGAAGTGGATGTACGCATCGGATGATCCTTATTTGTTTACTTTAAAATGTATAAATTTAATTCGCGTTTTCCTTTTACGTATATGAAGCAATTTTATTTTGATATATAGTGTACTATGTCAAATATACGGTAGGCATTGACATTTTCTCTTTACTTGTAATAGAAAATTCATTTTGATATCTGCTGTTCTGTTTTATTTCTTTTCATACTACGGGTGTTTTGTTTCCATTTTACATAAAGGGTAAAAGAATCATTTGTCATCTTTTTTTTTTGTTGTTGCAAAATTAGCTTTTCATCCCATATGTATTCATTCATGAAAGGTATATAGGTTTTTAATTAAAAAAGATTACCATAAAACACAAACACCCCCCCCCCCCACACACACACACTTGCTGAAATCTATCTTATAAAAGCACACACGATCATATTATTTCTTAATGATTTGACTCTAAAAAGGCAAAAATATCAATATTTAAGATGAAATAATAAAAAGGAAACTTCACAATAAATCAGAAGAAGGGAGGGCATATTGCTTTGCTGCTGTCTGTCTGTCGGTCCACCATTATTTTCGCAGAGGTTGCACATATTGAAATGAAATTTAGTAAAGAGTTATCATAAGAATATCTAGGTCAAGTTGTTTGGTGTTTTATGCCCCTTGGACTTGGAAAAATTATAATAATTTGGAGGAGCTCGAGGGGGCATGTGTTTTACAAATTAAACATCTCTTGTTTCTTATTAAAATAAAGCAAAAGTGGTAGAGAATGGAAGAGAATTCGTCCCTTAGCTATATTGCCCGTAGAATAATTCGCCATATTCGAATTGGAATATGCCATTCATTGGCAAATCTCGCTTTTAAAGCAATATGAGCTGAATTTTCAGAATTTTATTTTGCTGTAAGACTGTGTTATAATGATTTACTTGCATGTAATTTAAACCTTTATGATCCATTAGACTGAAATTGTGCATTGAATTATGTCAGAATAAAGACTTCTGTTCAACCTAATATATAGTGATATAAGAAATCAATAGTATACAGGATGACAATAATTGAACTTTGCTTCAGTCATATCTTATAAATAGTTCTTCCATTGGAAATATAAGCAACAGAAATTTGTTGTCATTGAAATAGTTTAATATAAATTTGCAACAAAAATGTCCGACATCAACATTGCAGCTCATATTGCTTTGCATATTGTATATACATTGGCGGGTCCTTATTGTCCCCCGCTTGAAAAGTGGGGGATATTAATTTGGGTTTGTCCGTCCGTCCGTCCGTCTGTCCGTCCGTCCGTCCGTCCGTCCGTCTTTCTGTCTGTCTGTAACGCTTTCGTTTCCACACGATATCTCGAGAACCCTTTGAGCTTTTGCAATGAAATTTAGCATAGCAACTCCCTGTGGACTAAAGAAGACCCCTTTTGATTTTGAGGTCAAAAGGTCAAAGATCAAGGTCATAAATAAGCAAATTCTGTCTGTTAAAACACTTTCGTTTCCACACGATATTTCTAGAACCATTTGAGCTATTGCAATGAAATTTTATATAGCAACCCCCTGTGGCCTAATGAAGACCCCTATTGATTTTGAGGTCAAAAGGTCAAAGTTCAAGGTCGTAAATTTATACATTCTGTCTGTGTGAAATACTATTATTACCGGGCGATATCTAAAGAAGATTTTGAGCTTATGCAATGTAATTTTATATCAAAACTCCCTAGGACGTCTCTCGCCCCTCTCAAAGTGCCCCGCCCCGTATGTTTTATTAGTATTTATAGTATTACGTCACTATTTTTAGCGCAGGGGCATGAGGAGAGTTATTGCGTATAAAACAGGTTCTCGGCGGACTTTATGTTCTTATTACATCTATTAGAACTGTTTAATAAAGGCTAAATAAATCAAACACCATGGATTGTGTAAAATTTTGAGAAAACCGATCATGAAAACATGAACATATACATTTATGTGACTTCACTTCTGCATATACTTCACACCGAGTAAAGAGACTCCGTGGTCTAGTGGTTATGTCTCTCGCTTCCAGTGTGAGAGGTCCCGGGATCGAATCTCGGTCGTACCTTTCTTTTTTTTTTTTTATGATTTTTTTTTTAACTAAATGATAGTATTCAGCATGTGAAATGAAAAATTTATGAGGTTATAAAATCATCATTACAGTGTGATAAAAATTCCATATAAAGAAATCTTCTATACACATAATGAAGAATAAGCAATCAAATCTTTATATGCATATTGACATACATGTATTTTATTTGCTTCAGTATACATGTATACATTTAATAATTCTACAAATTCAGTCAGGGGGAGCCGACTTTTTCCCTAAGCGGGGGACACGAATTCTCTGAATTAGCTTGTTTCTCTTATACATACAGTATATTTTTATTTATACACACTAAACATTGATGGCACAAGCATTTAAAAAGTAGGAAGACCCTTGCAGTATATAAATAACTTAACAATTTGAATTAAAAACTTCATTTAACGACTAGTTCTTACTTTTAAAAGATGGAGCAAGTCTTCACAGGCATTAGGTTTAAGCACCAAGGCTCGCCAAATAATTTGATATACAGCAATCTAAATACAGCTTGATAGAGGCCTGTAGCAAAGGTTTTCCATGTGGAGAAGGAGGGGGGGGGGCTCCGAAAAAAAAATTCTGCATACTACAGAGCTGTGCTACACGAGAACAATCAGATCTCTTTTCCAATGATAGATTTCTTCTGTATAAATCCAGAACAGATGTTAAGTCCCAGCCGTTATGAGTTACGTGTATCAGAATAGCACGATTTTTTAAAATGACAAAGCTATAAGCTAAGCTAATCAGAGATACATGTAAAATTGAACAGTTTTGCTATGAAAGTACTACTATCAGTCAAAGTAGGCAGATCATGGTAGGAAGGTGAACGGACATAACATGAATATTCACTACACCTAGAAATTTATTTTTCTAACTGAATTTCGGTTAGAAACACATGCATATGGTCCACGCATCGCAGTTTTTTTGAAGGACAGCAACTTGTCTCTGCCATAATTCCGTCAAAAATCAATGACATGAAACGAAATGCAAACTTGATCTGCAACTTACCAAAATACACCCACATACCAAAAACAGCTCAGTATCTGCAAACGTTAAGGAAAAAAGTGCAGGAAAACCAAGTGGGACAGACTGACAGATAGGGGACAGCTAGACGGACGGACATACTCGAAGGAAACTTACAAGCTTGCGAATCTGAAATCTTTATACATAAAATACAAATGTCGAATTTGACAATGATCTTGGACAGTGTTGGAGTTTCGCCTGCATCTTGAGAAACTTTAACCCTCGCCATAAAACCAATGTTTTTTTCTTTTTTTTTTTTTTTGAAAGTGAAAGTTGTGGACATAATTATACTTTTTTAAACATTGCTGAGAGATTTTTAATAATATGAAATAAAGGAGTCAAGAACAAAGTTACAATCACCTGAAAGCAAAATGCAAAAAAAAAAAAAAAAGACATCGTATAAAGGTTTGATTTGCTTCATTTTTTATGTTTTATACATCAAATTACGCAAACAACATTAGTTAAACAGTAAAGATAGACCTGATTGAAAATACTTCTACATGTCCAATCCTTCAATTGTATTTGCTACATTATTTGATGATACAATTTTATTTTAATAATTTTTTGTGTTAACATTTATCTTAGTGTTTTGAATAACAAATGAATTTGTGTTATTTTTGTTAATAGTTTATTTATTATACTTTCCTTTAAACTCGGTATATGTGTTACTTTTTGTTAAGGCATCAAGGCACAACTCCG